CCACTGCTGGCAGAGATGCAGCATCCCTAGAACCAATGCTGATGCCCGTCTGAACCCCCAAAGCTGTGGCTATCCATCACTAGCCGGCCCACCTACCAAGGAGCCCTCCAGTGGCCGCTTGTGGGAACTGCAGCTCCCCCTGCACCCCTTGCCCGCAGTTGGTTGTAAGCTCTGAATCTCACCCCGCCCACAGGAGACCTACCTGATGAAGCACATGTCCAAACACACGGTGGTGGAGCACCTGGTGAGCCATCACTCGCCCCAGAGGACGGAGTCTCCCGGCATCCCGGTGCGAATTTCCCTCATCTGAGCCGACGCAAGGCGCCGCCCCGCCCTGCCCACTGGCAGACACAGACCCAGGCAGCACCAGGCCCCGACTCCCTCCAGGGGCCCTCCAGGAACAGCCGAGCTCTCTCACGACCTTCCTGACCTTCCAGAAAGCCTGGGCCGCAGAAGCCCTGCCCGGTCCAGCTCCGGGGGCGGCCAGGCCAACTGCAAGATTCTGGACTGTTCTGGTGGCATCCAAAGACGATCTCAGAGCACTTTGAACCTCTCTGCTGGGTTTTCCTTTTGTTCCCCACCCTTCACTTGCTTCACTGTTCTTTTTTTTTTTTTTTTTTTTAAGTTTGTTTTGGAAATAACAAAAAAGATATTTATTGGCCAAGAAGTTGGTGCTGCTAAGACCGAGAAATTAAAAGAACCGGACAGATGGACACAGAGAACCAGAGGGCAGCGTGGGACCTTATCTTGCCACGGCCTCAGGTCTTGAGGGGAAGGCTCAAGCCTGGGTTTCTGGACTGCAAAGGGGGCCCCCAGGTGGGAGGGGCAGGAGGCAGCTGGAGTGAGCCGCTTGCCACTGGGTGCCAGCTCGAGCCTCCAGAGCTGCGCCCTGGGCATCACTGAGCAGAGGGATGTGGCAGCTACCAGGGCTACCCAGTCTTCAGGAGACGAAATGAGAGGGGCCAGGAGGTCCACAGGACCAAAGGGTGCAATGTTGGCTGGGCTGGGTGCAGGCCCAGGGAAACGGGGTGGGGTGGGCTGGGTAAGACCTGGCACCCCTGCTGCCCTGAAGACCACCCCAGTCTACCTCGGTGCTGGCCAAGAAACCTATTGGCTACCTCTCCCACCATCCCAGACTGTGGGCAGGGGGAGGGAGTGGGCCTGGGGCAAGGACCCCCCTCTCCAGAATTTCCTCCAGATGGGGCAGTGCCCAAGGAGGGGTTACTTGTCTTCCCTGCCATGGAGGGGAATCCCCAGCCCAGGCCCTAAGCCCCTGGGCAGGGAAGGGATCCTCGGGGAGGAGGGTCCCGGGAGCAGACCCTGCCCTCAGCTCCCACAGACACACCCCAATCTGAAAGCCATGCGTGTCCGTGTATATAGGAACCATGTACAGAGCCCGGAGAAGCCCCCCCTACATCCCCTGGGGAAAAAAAAAAGAAAACTAGACAGAAACTCATCTATATATTCTGTATCTGGAGTTCCGTTTTGAATATTAACTGTGTTATTTTTATACACTTTTTAAGCCTTAACTCGCCATTGATTTACCAGTTTAACGTCTCCTGGGGTTTCTTTTCCCACGGGGTTCTCTGCCCCGCCCCCACCCCTTTGTTTGACTGGCTTCGTCTGATACTCAGTATTGTAGCTTTTTGTCCGCATGTTACTACCCTGTAAATATGCTGTTATACATACTGTTAACACCCCTTTGCTTTTTTCTATGGGACCTCCAGGCCACCATATTTAGAACTAGTTACCTTATTAAAAAAGAGAAAACAGTCTGTTGGCTTCTCAGTCTGCATCGTGGTGGCAGGGAGGTGAGGGCAGGTGCCCCTCAAGGCTTCAGGAACGAAGTGTGCGTTATATTGAAGGAAAGGGGTGGGGAGCAAAAAAAGTCAAACGTGGGGGAAGACACTAAAGGGGGCAAGAAACAAAGGAATTCCAAACCCTCTGCTCTTTGTATTTCTCTGTTGTGAAGAATAAACTGTACCTGCAGCCGGGTGGTGGCGGTGTGTGGCGTGCTCTGTGCGAGGGTGGGGCTGGGGGGCACCTTTCCACTGCTCCTCTCCCCTCCCCCGCCCCCCCCCAAGACTCGGGGAAGAAGGGAAATGCCCCTTCCTGCGTCCATCATTCGCAGCCAAGGACCATGAGGGCTCAGAGGAGTGAGTTCCCAATGGTGGCTCATGGCTGAGTCACTTTCTCTCCCACGAGGCGGCTAGCACAGGGCCAGCCTTGATAAACTCTGGGGGAGTTCCTGCATCTCCGTCCTAGGCAATCAAAACAGTGACCCCCTTGGGGAAGATGTGTGTGCAGGGGACTTCTTGGTCTCCTCAATCACTGGACTAGCTGGAGGCTATGAGGCTGGAGCTGCTGCTGCTGCAGGAGCCCGAGGATGAAGCTGAGTCTGAACAAAGCCAGGTGGAGAGCCGGAGACATCATCGAGCCCTGAAGCTGTCCTGACCCCAGCACCGTCCTGTTACATAAGCCAGTATAACCCTCGTTAGGGTTGATCTTTCGTTTTCCTCAGAGTCAGTTGCTAAATGTTTACCACAACACCACTGGCTGGCTCTCCAATCAGATTCCTCATTCAGTGAGTTAGGAACAAGTTAGGCGATGGTGGGCGCCTGAACGGGAAAATCCTGTGTGTGTGTGTGTGTGGGGTGCACGGGGTGCTGTGTTGGGCCAGACACAAGCAGAAGGACAAAGGAGGCAGAGAGAAGCGGAGACGGACAGAGGAGACTGAGGGCCAGCCAGTGGCAACCTTAGCTCCTGACTTTTGTCTCCATCTTCTGGCCCACTCTAATTTCCTGCTTGTTCTCACATCAGTGAATTTATTTATAAGTTACCGTGTGACATCGGGTAAGTTAATTAACCTCTCTGTGCCCGATTTTCTCATAGGTAAAATGAGGGAAATAATAGTAACCAGTTGATAGGGTGCATATGAGGATTAAATGAACCAATAGATATCTGAGGCTTAGAACTGTGCGTGGTACATAGTAAGTACCCAATAAATGTAATTGTTATTATTTGATGTAGCCCTGATGGATCTATGTCCTTTATGATCAAGGAACCCTGACTAGACAGCTGGTGATGTTTGGGAATTTTGGGGGGTGACACCCGAGCTGGCATGGTAGGTGGGATGGCTGGACAGGTGAAGATTTTGCATGTAGCAGTGACACTCGGGAGACTGGGAGTCTGATTTTCACCGGCTCACCTGGAAGCTCTCAGGAGCTTACCCGGTCCCTGATGGTCCCAGCGTGGGTGCTGAGGATACTGTTGATTAACAGGGACACTGATGGAAGCAGCGGCAGAAGGAGCTTATCCCCTGTTTTTCCTGCTGCTGCCCTGAGCCTCTCTACACCTGAGCCTGCCCCACCCCCACCCTGGGCCTCTGGGCAAGACAAAGGAGGTCCTCCACTCTGTTCTGCTGTTTACCCCTCCCCCTCCTCAGGAAGGTCTCCACCCACAGCATGAGGCTCCCCCGGCCCAGCACCTGGAAACCCCTGACTCGCGCCATCACTTCCTCTTTAAAACAGGAAATGGCTGTCCTTTGGCGACTCCTTTGCTCTCCACGAACTTTTTCTGCAGCATCACAACCCCTGCAAGGAGGGTGATTGGCACCCCCACTTTACATATGAGAAAACTGAGACTCAGCAAGGGTAAGGAACTAGTCCACAGCCACGCACAGAGTCAGAAGAGGAGCAGATTTCCATCCAGATCTTACTGGCCTGAGCTCAGGTCTCTGCTGGCCCAGGGCTCAGTGTGTGTGGCCCTTGGTGAATGATGCAGGCAGTGTAAGGTGGAGGACAGTCTCCCACCAGAGGAAGGGATGTCAGCCTATAGCCATCAAGCAATAACCTGTTCTTAGGCACACCTAGCCTGTTCTTAGCTCTAGCCCAGAGTCCAAAGGGTCTGCTGGGTTCTGCTAATCTAGTTTAGGCAGGAGACACTGGGGCCTTGGAACTGCTTCGGAGAGGGGAGATATCTCTTACATTATCAACAACTGGAAGTGTTTGTAAAAACTGTTACTATGTGAAAACCATCACAGTTGGCTTATAGCCAGAATTGCTGTCCTACCTGAAAATAGTGGAGCCTCTTAAAAATGCAAGGTCTGTGAGAACACTACACAAACGGGTCAGAAGACCTGGAGGTAAGTCCCACCCTCTCCGGGCCTCCGTTTTTCAACTGTCAGACAATATCTCAGGGACTTCCAGCAGATAACTTCCCTGTCCCTGCAGCTATTTCCCGGAGGGAACCACCTTTCCTGGAGAGCCTGATGACTTCAGGCTTCTGTTCGGGACGTTGTGTCTTTCCTTATTGAGGACGAAGAGTCTGGACAGCAGCCACGGATGAGGAAATTTATTTCCCAGACACTGTGGCCAAACAGCCATATGGGTTCCATGGCAAGGAAATGTCATTTTTATGGACTTGGATTCTCTAGGAGAAAGGGCCATAGGACACTTGGGAATAATGTATTTTATTATCATATTACTCAAATATGTACAAACTTTGCTGAGGGAGGCAGAGGTGAACCAGATGCCACTGTGTTTCTCTATCTGGGGCTCCTGCCCAGTGGCAGCTCTATTGGACCTGAGGGCCAGTCCTTGCTTTCCAGCTGCTGACCTCACAGACGGACTCACAGATTCTCTGGGTCCTTACGTAGTTATGTTCCTTTTGTGTGCCTCAGTCCCATTAAAAAAAGTGGGGGGATATGGGGAAGGGGCTAAAACGTCTCTTCGGGGGCCTCCACTGAACTCAGTAAGGTCAGAGGTGACAGGTTTCCAGGCAGCTGACCGTATCTGGGTCGCTGTGGAAAGTCAGGGAAGGGATGGATCGCCCGCCTGCCCGCCTCGGGGAGGCGCTCCCCAAAGGCCGGGCCTCCTCCTGCCACCCCGGGCGGTGGGGGATAGTATTCACGCAGTCTTCCCGCGCCCCCCCCGCCCCCGTGCCACGCTGCTTCCAGAAGGGCCCCCGCCGGCGTTCGGGCCTCCAGGCCGAGGGCGTCTCTAGCCGCGCGGCAGGGCGTACTCCTTGGGCGCCTAGAGCAGTTGGGGGCGGCGAATCTCGACCCGGCGGCCGACGTCGGAGCTCCAGCAGAACTCGGGCGACAGCAGCTTGGCGGGCTTTTGCAGCCAGAAGGACTTGTTGTGGTGGCTCTCGTCGTGCCAGCGCGCCTCCAGGCCGCGCGCGCGGTCCCGTCGCAGGCCCCGCGCGCAGTAGACCGTCAGCTGCCGCAGAGCCGCCACGCTGCCCCCGAACACGGCCGCCTGGTAGCAGAAGTCGCCCTCGCTCGGGTCCAGCGCGGCGGCCGAGCGCGCGTCCCGCTCGAAGGGCAGCAGCCGCCTCCGCCAACGGTAGTGCCAGACGAGCAGCTGCGCCACCGACTCGGCCAGTGCCTCGGACCCGAAAGTCCCGCTGAAGTGCTGGTCCACGTCCACGCAGCGCAAGAAACGCGCCTCGCGGCCCAGCTGCCCGCCCAGCGCCGCGTGCAGCGCGCGCATGCGCACCATGGACACGTTCTGCCAGCGCCGCCAGCGCGCCACGCGCTCCTCGCGCTCCTAGCGCTCCTCGCGCAGCCGGCGGCCCGGGCCCAGCCGTACGCGGGGCACGGCGGCCGGGCCCTCGGTGAACACGTAGTACACCACGCGCTGGCCCACCATGAAGTGCTGCTCAGCCGTCTCCAGGAAGTGCGCCAGGTACTTCTCCAGGTATCTGTCGGGCGGGGCGGGGCTGTCTTGAGTAAGCCGGGCCTCAGCGCACTCCGCCATCCGCGGAGACGTCGGGCTTCTGAGGCCTCCCCTCGTCCGTACTTGTGCCCCTGCAACCCCAGTCCCTGGAACTCCAAAACTGTCCAGCCCCGAAATCGTCCGAGGTGGACTAAAAATAATTACCCATTGTTTGCCACCCCTGCCCCGAGAGGCCCTTTGTGCCCCGCTTGAACGCGGCTCTCCCTGACCAATTCTATCAATAGAGTCCCGAGGAAGGGATGCTGTGCTGGCCCTTGGGAGGACCGGCTCGTTAGCCTTTGTCTCTTTAGAGCTCTGACCCTTCGCTTAAGAAATCCCAGAGCTCAGGGCTTCCCTGGTGGCACAGTGGCTAGGAGTCCGTCTGCCAATGCAGGGCACACAGGTTCGAGCCTTGGTCCGGGATGATACCACATGTCCCGGAGCAACTAAGGCCGTGCGCCACGACTACTGAGCCTGTGCTCTAGAGCCCGCGAGCCACAACTACTGAGCCTGAGCGCTGCAACTAAACCCCATGCGCCTAGAGCTCGTGCTCTGCAACAAGAGAAGCCGCTGCAATGAGAAGCCTGCGCACTGCAACGAATCGCGGCAACTAGAGAAAGCCTGTGGGCAGCAACGAACACACAACGCAGCCAAAAATAAAAAAAAATAAGTAAATTAAAAAATAAAAAAGAAGTGTCAGAACTCAGATGCTGCCACGAAGTGAGGGAGACCAGCCTAGCCACGGAGAGAGGTGCCCGCCAGTCATCCGCAGGACTTTTGGGAGCAGGGAGGGGCCCCCCTGCTGCTGAGCCCTGTCAGAATTCCTGAGCCACAAAATCACGAGCTGTGGTAATAATGAACTGTTTTCAGTCACTGAGTTTGTGGTGATTCCTTACATAGGTAACCGGGACGTTCAGAATACTGGAAGCTTTGTATGAACAGGCTTTGGGACCCCAGGCTTCTAAAGTAATCGCACTCATTAACGCCTGATAATGTGGAATCGTGTGGCAGATAATGTTCAAAGTAACGTGCATTATCTCATTTAATCCTCACCATTGTTAGCTCCATCTCTCAGGTGAGGAAACTGAATCTCAAAGAGCTTCAGTAACCTGCGCAAGCACGCATGCACATAGTTGGTAAGTGAAAGCCAGGATTTGAACCCAGCTTGGCACTGGAGCCTGTACTTTTACGTGCACTTGCTCTATTCCGGGTGGAACTGTGAGAAACTGGAATCAGAGATCTTGGAAGCCTCAGCATCCCAGGGTGTTGGACTCATAGATCCTTGGAACTCAGGACCTCAGGACCCTGGAATTTCTGGACTCAGAGACTCTGACCCCTAGGGCTGGTGCAGGAACACCCTACTCAGCATTCAGAGCAGAAGTGGGAGCACCAAGGCCCTGGAGAGGCCAGCAGTCCTGTTTGCCCCCAGCCTCTCAGGGGCCCTCCTGGCTTTCTCTCCCTTCTAGAGTGTAAGGGACAGAGTTGGAGGAGCCCTGAGCAGTTGTCTGGGGCACATGTCCTCAACACCCCCCCGGGCCGCGGACCAGGCCGCACAGCAGGAGGTGAGCGTCAGGTGAGTGAGCGAAGCTTCATCTGCCCCCATCACCTGCATTACCACCTGAACCATCCCCTCCCCCCCTCCCCCACCCCCTGGTCCGTGGAAAAACTGTCTTCCATGAAGCTGGGCCCTGGTGCCAAAAAGGTTGGTGACCGCTGGTCTGGGGTCTCTGAAGACAGAATTCCTTCCCCAGGCTTTTGGATATCTTTTCCCGGATGCAGAGCTCTCAGTGCCTTCCCAAAGCAGCCTGTTCCGTTATTAGAAACTCGTCCTTAAGTTGCCTTGAACACTACCTCTCTCTACCTTAGGATTGTAGGATCTGATTGCCACTCTAAGCCAGGAGTCCCATTTGCATCACTACTGTAAAGTGAATACCAGTTTGCACACCCTGACATCCATAACGGGGAGATGGGCAGGTCAGCCCCCTGAGGTTTCTTCTCCACCTCCCACTCTGGGTTCCTTGTCCATACCCGGGGGACCATTAGTTCCTCGATTGGCCTCCTCTCCTGTCGTGATTCTGTCTTCCCTGCTCCTCAGTCACTTGCCCCCATGGCCTCTCCCTCGACTTGGTCATCGTCAGTCTGCCCCCCGCCCCAAGTTGTGGCTTCACCCGTCCCACTGTGTGAGCCCCCGCCCTTCCAGCCCACTTCCTGTGATATCACCCCCAACAGTCCTTCCTCACTGACCCCTCTGGCCTGCTGACCCTACCCCTCTCCGCATCCTCCTTTCTTCACATCCCTCTTTATCCAGCCCAGATTCGCTCCCTTGCAAAAGCCCTCAGCTCCCCAGCCCCTCTTCCACCTTCAGACTTTCTTGGTGAACCTCCCCCCGCCCTGCCCTTTCTGTGTGCCTAAACCTGAGCCGCTGACCTCCACAGAGGCTTCTGCAGCTGGGCCATCCCCTCTGTTTACCCAGTTCTCACCTCCTCTCACCTGAAAGACTCCATCATTTTCTCACCGCAAACCCAAGGCCTCCAGATGATCAGCCCCAGGCCCTGGGCAGGTTCCTTCTAGGTTGTGATGCTGAGCCCTTGGCTGCCTGGGCTGGGTGGACTCTAGGGAGGAGGGGAAGGGAAAGGATGGTCCTGCCCTCATGCTGGGAGTCTGGGACAAGGGGTGCTGTCTTTGCTTCTCGCTTTATCCTGGGATCCTACAGCCCAGGAGAATGGGGTGCTCCACCCCTGCATCATGTGCACACCCCCTCCCACTCCCTGCTTGGATAGCACCGCTCCCCTCCCCGGGCCTTACCTGCCTACAGCAAAGACAGTCAGACCAATGGTGAGGTTCTGTACAGCCTCTTGCTGGGCCACATCTGGGTCAAAGGTGCCATCCCAAATAATGGGGGCCCCCCAGCAGGTACAGGTCAGGACTTCAGGCCGGGCCCTGGCCAGGGCAGGGATGGAGAGACAGGTCCATTCATCTTCCTGCTTGATGTATGATCACCGCCACCTCCCCAGTCCTGGGACCCACAGATGGGTCACACCCAGGCCCTACCCCTAGAAATCTCTTCCCAGATCCAGCAGAGTAGGGGGAGATGTGTTACCTGATGGGGCCCCTGGGTAGCGTGCCTAGCCCTGCCAGGGTGGGGGATGTGAGGAGGGCAGGAACGCTGGGGCAGAGCTCTGTAGGGTGTGTGGGTATCCTCGGAATGGGAGAGATGGCAGCTCCTTACCAAGGATGCGGGGGACCTGTGAAGTTGTCTCTCAGCAGGGGCATTCTGGCCAAAGGGCAGAGCCCCATGGGGGTGAGGACTCCCAGGTGCCTGTGGGGTGGGAGCATCAGTGAGGGGCATGCTGGCCTGCCCAGGAGCCCTGTCGCTTTGCTCCTTACAAGGAGGGAGAGCCTGCAAGGATGCTTGTGCGGGCCATGACAGGTGCCACTCTCCATCCCTCAAGGAGGCACTTGGAAAGAGCCACTTCAGCCCTGCCCTGCTGGTCCCATCGTGAGTGCTGGGGGAAGGGGGTTGTACCTGACTACAGGGAGCCCATGCAGGAGCAGCCCTAAGAGGCCAAGTGCAAATAGGATCAGAAGATTCTCTTCCAGGCCCTGGGGGGTGGGGAGGGGGGGGTCGGCAACTCATTTCTGCATATATTTTTATACACACACACATATATATGAAAAATGGGTAATTCAGTGTTTCATTTATTTGTTCGCTTTAATATGAATGTATTATTCTGTTCACTTGGCACAGACATTCAGAGGTACAAAAGAGTATAGACAGTGCAGTCCTTCCTGTTCCCAGCCACGGCCACCCAGTTCCCCTGCAAGGGGATAGTTTATGCACATACAGGCAAATATAAATATGGTAGCAAATTCTCTCTCCCTTCCCTCTGTCCCTTCCTCTGATTTTCTCCCACAAATGGTAGCACAGTGATACGCTGTTCTCCACCTTGCATTTTCCACTGACCACTATGTCCTTGAGGTTGTTCCACCTCAGTACGTGAAGCGCTTCTTCACCCTTTTTTCCAGCTGCCTAATATGCCATTGACTGGAGGTGGCATCATTTACTTGACCAGGTCCCTTGTGATGAGCATTTAGATGTATAACATTTTGCTTTTCCTGGCAGCAAACTTGGGGGACAGTAAATTAGGGGGTGGGGCACTTAGCCTGGGTAGGATTGACCTCGGACGGGGAGAGTCTGGGAGGGGATGCGGGGGCGGTTGTGGCTTGGTGGCTGGGATTTGAGAGCATCTGGGGCTTAGGGATGAGTTGCTGGGCTGCCCGGAGGGCTGGCTGCGGTCAGGGACCACGTGTCTATGGCGGCTCCAGTCACAGGGCCGGGTCCCTCCAGCAGAGCTCAGCGACCCCACTGCTGGCTCAGAGGAGGTGGACTTTGGGATTTATGCATGGTTGCTTGTTTTCCAGGAGGGCCCTAAAAGTTGAGAATTTTAATAAGCTCCTCTGGGCAGGTCTCCTCCAACTCTCCTCAGCCCTTCTGGGTGCGGGTGTCTGTAGACAGACAGGACCCATATGGTGAAAGCCTGGCCACTGGGGCCAGACCCCCAAGTTCGAATCCCAGGCCACCACTTCTTAGCTGTCTGACCTTGGGCAAGGTTCTGGGCCTCTGCACTTTAGTCTTCTTGTCTAGAAATGCAGATAATAAGAGCACACGCCTTAGAGGGCTGCGACGGATATTGTTAATACCTACCAAGTGATGAGAACAAGGCCTTGCACACAGTAAAAGGTCAGTAAGCTTTAGCTATTGTTGATTATCATTAGTAGTAGTATTCCTAAACCAGCCCTCAGGATTCTCTGCACAGCCTCCCAGCTCCCCTCCCCGCCCTGTGAGTCCTTCCAAAATCTGCCTCCTCTGGTCTCTTTCAAGAAGCCTGCCTGATCAGACCCTCCCGCCCCTGCCTTTTCTGCTACCCCACCTCACCGTTCCTCAGCAGGTGTATCCAGTAAATAGCTTCAGAGAGGCACCTTGCGGTTGTGTGTGTACGTAGCTGCCTGTGCATCTCAGGGCAGACACCCCTTCTGTTCAGCTGGTGAAACCTGGGTGCACTGACCCCTCCCTCTGCCTCGCCCACTGTCAGTCCCCAGGGGTGGGTGGTTGGCTTGGCCTCCTTGATCTCCGCCCCCCCTCTGCCCCTCCTATTTCTCCGGCCCCCACAGCCATCCTGCCTGCTTATCCCCCACCAGGACCATTGCAGCAGCGACCTCCCTGCTCCCAGTCACTCCTGACACAGCCCCCAGAGTCAGCTCATAAAATGCCACCTGCCTTAACTGTCCATGTCACGTGAACAGGGAAATCCTCGAAGGGGAAATGCATTTAGTAGGCAAACATATGGAAAACTGTTCACCCTCACTAGTAATCAAAGACTTATAGATTGGAACTAGGTGGGATGTTTTGCCTATAAAGTGAGCACTTTTTAAAAAGAAAGAAATGAAAATAGCCAGGCTGGGAGAATACAGCGAGACAGGCACTCTTACACCTGCTGGTGGGATGTAAATTGCTGCAGCTTTTTTGGAAAGCTCCTTAGCTGTGGGAATTGAAGCTTTCACTAGTCATCCCCTTTAATCCAATCACTGCAACTTCTGGGAATCTGTTCAAAGGAGATCATCTTCAGCATGGGAGAAGTTTATGCATCAAGATGTTCACTAGCTTCTGCTCGTTCATGCTTTCAGCCTATACTTATTGGTCACAAGCTCAGAATCAAGCACTGTGCTAGGTCAAGGATTCAGAGGTGAGCGAGACACAGACCTTGTCTTTAAGGGAGCCGGGTCAGGAAGATGTGGGTGGCCAGGAAGGGAGGGGAATGGGGTCACATGACAGACTGCAAACAGATGAATGGAACACAGCACAGCAAGGCTGTGATTAGTGTAAATACAAGATACCATTATCTTGCAAATGGCCAGATACCATTGGGGAGAAGTCAGGGAGGCTTCCTGGAGGAGGTGACCCTGAAGAACTAGGACCTGAAGAACTAAAAGTTATCCACACAAAGAAGGCAGTGGGGCTTCCCTGGTGGCGCAGTGGTTGAGAGTCCGCCTGCCGATGCAAAAAAAGAAGGCAGTGGAGGGGAAAGGGAGGTCCATGAAAAAGAAACAGCACTGTGTAAAAGTGACGAGGTGAGAGTGCTTGGAAAATACGGGGAACTGCAGGCCTGCTGCAGGGGCGGGGGTATAGGGTGTGGATAGGAAGTGATAAGAGTTGAGGCTGGAGATAAGCCTGAGCCAGGTCACCCAGGGCCCACATTCCAGGATAAGGGGTTTGGACTTCATCTTGAAGGCCATGGGGAGCCCTGAAAGCTCTGTCCTTCAGGGAGCGATGCTGTCACATTTTTACTTGGAAGATACTCCGGCTGAACTGTTGAGCCTGGACGTGGGGCAGGGACCAGGTGGAGGCAGGAAGACAGGTGAGTGTTGGCAGTGGGTTGGGGAGGAGTAGGTGATGAATGGCTGTCAAGGAGGTTGATGGGCAGGACTTGGTCACTGATGAGAGGGACAGGGCTGGGGGACCAGGAAAGGAGATGGTGGCTGATAGTCTGGTTGGGGGTAAGAAGCTGGAGCTCAGAAAGGCAGGCAGGCAGGCAGGCTTGGGAGAGAGTTCTGGGATTCACCAGGAGGGCAGGGACGCTGTGGAAGAGGGAGAGAGCAGAGGAAGGAGAGCCAGGGCCCAGGCACCCACCGAGGACACTGTTGGGGACGGGCAGGGGACTGAGTGAGCAGAGGAGGCAGTGGAGGCTGGGGTGGTGGTGGTGGAAGCGGCTCTTTCTGGAAGTTTGGCTGTAAAAGGAAAGGGAGAGGATGGTAACTGAAGGGGCTGAGGGCTTGGGATTGATGGAGGTGCGTGTGTTTCTTTCACACAGGGAGACTTGAGCTTGGTTGAACGTGGGCTGGAGGGCACCAGTGGAGAAGGCGTTGTGCTGCCCTCTCAGATACAACTGAAAAAGGCCCCAGCGTCCAGCCGAAGGGACTGGCTAAATAAACTTTTTATGAAGAGTCTGCAGTCACATGGAAAAAACTTGCACAAGAACCGTGAATGAGGAAAGCAGGATCTAAAATTGATGGGCACTGTGGTTACAATCTAGCAATGAAAACATGCCGGAGCAAATAAGACTGAAAGGAAGAACGTAAGTGACTGTGTAATAAGTTATTTTTACCTCCAGTTGTCCGTAATGTGCTTTTATTGCTATTTTAATGAAGGAAAAATACAGAGTTAACCATTTAGGAAAAACAAGTGTTTCTAAGCCTTTCTAGTGCCTGCAAGGTGAAGTCCACCTCTCTTAGCCCTGCCTGAGGAGCCTGCACAGTCATTTCAAGCACTCACACCAGACCCAACTTTCCCACCTCTAGAAACGGGAGACTTCACAGTGGACAGGCCAAGGATGCTCTCCTAGCATTGCTGGAAAAAGCAAATGGAGATAAACAACCCCACTGTTCGTCCTTAGGGAGTTGGATGAATGAATTATGCATTTCTATACAATGGAAAGCAATGTGGCCACTGAAAAGGATAAGGTAGATTTATTTATATGTGCTCTCGGGAAAAGAGGGCCTAAAGAATCAAGTGGAAGAGGAAGTAACAACTGTACATAGAGGCTGGCTGCACTTCTGTCGGGGGGGAAGTCCCTATACCTGTGTACCTGTGCATTTACAGACGTGTTTCTATGTCGTTTTATAAAAACGTAGGAAAAAATCTGGAACAGCATTGCGCAATAGAAATATAATGTGAGCCACGAACGTAAATTAAAATTTTCTAGTAGTAGCCATGTTAAAAAAGTGAAAAGAAACAACCGAAATTTTTAGTATTTTATTTTAACCTAATATATCATCATTTCAATATGTAACCCCAAATATCATTTCAATATGTAATCGATATAAAAATTATTGAGATATTTTACAGTCGCTCCTGGAAGCGAGACTGCCCCCCCGGAGGGACGGCATGGGAGGTGCCAGGCGCAGGAGAAGGCTGCAGCGGAGCTCTCTCTGCCCTCCCTGCCATCTGACCCTCTTAGCCGGCCCCTCACAACTAGGGCAGCCATGCAGAGTTGTCCCCAAGTGGTCCAGGTGGGCTCCAGCTGTCAGCCCTGGGAGGGTGCTGACACCCAGGCCTGCAACAGGCTCCTGCCGCCCCCTCCCATGGCCCAGCCAGGGAGCCCCTAGTCCACAGAGGCACCTGCCTGACCCATTCCTCCCAGTTCCTTGCCCTGATATTTTCAAAAGGGTCCCCTCCCCTCCACCCCGCTTCCACCTGCAGAAGGTGGTCCCACAAGGTGGCCTCATGCCCTGCTCCTGTACTCTCCTTGCTTTCAGGAGGAGGTTGAAGATCAGTCATTAGTTCCTAAGTGGGAACAAGTTTGCAGTCCTGGACAGTCACTCCCAGTTGGAATAGAGGGCTCACAGTTGCAGTGGAAGGTGCGCCCCAAAGTCTGTTCTCTGCTCACTGAGGGGGCTCAGAGTTTAGGGCAGCAGGAGGAGTTGCCGAGCTCTTCACGGGCACGAGATCTCCCAGGATGCAGCCTCCCCCCACCCCACCACCCATTCCTTGGACCGTCTCTGCCCCTTGGGCGATGTCCTCCAGTCACCTTCTCCCAGGACCTATATGGCTCAGCTGGTTCTCAGCAGGCCAGCCTTGGTGCCTCCTCGACTGTTCTGACCACCAGGCTGGACTCCACTCGGGACAGCTGTCCCACCTCATCTTCCCCCTGACACTGGCAGCGTCCCCCCCTCACCTGAGTCCTTGCCATGACAGGAAGCTGGTGGGACAGCCTGCCAAGAACCTTCTCAGCTCAGGGCCGGGGAAGAAATGACCCATTCTTGGTGACTGGGAGCAAGCAGTTTCAGGCCATCTGCCAGAAACCACAGCCACAGGAGCAAGCAGGGATGAACTACCCGGAGAGGAGCCCCCTGGGGCCAATCACCTGGAAGAGGGTGGATGGAAGGCCAGCTCTGGTTGGCCAGAGGTGCTGAGACATTCTGTACTGACTCTTCCTCCCCAGGGCTCCTCGTGCCCCTCTTCAGTTTCGTGGTCCTCGGGCCAGACTGTGGTGTTTGCCACCCAGGGAGAACCTTGTTCTGCGCGGACCTTCAGCCAGATCTCAAGGGCGCCGGTCACCTGAGTGTGACCTTGGACAGTTCACCTTGAGGAGCCCTTGATCTCTTCAGTAAAACAGGTATGTGCACCAGTCACCCAGGACAGGGTAAGAGCCACACAAAGTAGTTACATGGAAAAGTTCTGGAAAGCTTGCACTAGGCAGGGTTTTTTTTAAAGTGCAGGTTATGATCTATTAGAGGGCCATGAAATCAATCTTATGGATCATGACTGAGATTTTAAAAATATGAACAGAAAGGGAATTGAAAATGTCAGAATGTATTGTACATCAGGGTAGGTATTGTTTTGTTTCAGTTTATATATTCAAGTACATCCACGAGGGTGGGAAACTTTTTTTAAACTGTCGGTCATGATCAAAAAAGTTTTGCAAAATTCTGTGTAAGGTGTAAACCTCAGGAGCAAACGCATGTTGAAGGAGGCACCCTTCAAACTGGGGCCTTTCACCCAGAGTGAAGAAACGGCGCTGATACTCACCTGTGTCAGTCAGCCCTGCAAATCCACCATATCCTCTTTCAGGGCTTTTAGTTCCCTTCTCCACCACACACATAAGGACAAACTCAGTTTGGGCCCGGCGTTGTCCTCCAGTAAGGGAAAGTGGAGGTCCAGCGTGGACTCGCCGAGCTGCACGGGCCACGGTGGGCCGGCCCGCCTGGCCTGGAGAGGGGAGGGCAGCGCAGGGGGCTCCCGAGGCGCCCTCTCCACCAGGCACCTTCCCCGACTTCCCTGAGGTTCTGAGGTCCTTGCCCCCTGCCACGCCCCCTCGGCCCAGGGTCCTGCACTGGCCTCTGTCCTGTCGCCATTCCCGACCTCCGGGACCACCAGACTTTCCAGTCCTGGCTCCACCCTCTGGGTCGTCCACTAACCAGTTTTGTTTCTCCTCTTCCTCCGGGTAGTGGCTACATTTTAAAAGGCCTTCCAGAGAGTTCTCGTCCAGATATGGGTACTGGCTCTTAAAAGGCCCCTGCTTATCTCCCCGGGCCCCGCCATCACAGCATGTTACAGACTGAGTGAGCGGTCTGCGCCTGGAAGGCCCTTCTCCTTTATTCGAGGCTTAGGCGTCACCTCCCTGAGGCAGAGACTCTCCTAATAGTTTGCTATTGCAGCATCCAGAAAGCGCTCAGGGGTTGAGTGAGCCAAAGCCACCCCAAGGGCAGTTCTGGAAACGGCGGAGGGAAGGGTCTGGGCTCTGCCTCAGGTGTGCCAGATATCCCTGGCCCAACAGCATCGTGTCTCCCTGGTGGCAGTCCTGGGTAGGGGGGCTCAGAGTTGAAGGGGCCCTGGACCTCACACTCCAGGGGACACCTGTGTGAAGAACAGAGGTGGGATCTGCTTTTCTCATGTGGACTGGGACCAAGGGCACCCTCAAAGGACCCAGCCCCAGCGAAGCATGGAGGATATGCTATCCAGTTAAGGTGGTCGTCCCTCCCCCAACCCAGGGACCCACCCCTCTCCTGACAGATGAAAAGTAGCTATTCAGGACCACAGAAAGGCATCCCCAGGGGAGAAAGGCACAGAAGGAACAGATTTTACAGATTTATTTTTAAAAAACAAAAAGGTTAAAAAAGTCCTTCATTTCCAACCCTGCCTGGGGGTGTGAGTGGGGAATAGAACAAGCTCAGAAGGGCACCCACCCTTCCCCCAGGGAGAGTCCCACTCCCCCCAGGAGTCTGCAGAGGCCCGGGCAAGTCAGAGGCAGGCCCTCGCCCTTCCTGCCCCGCCTCCTCCACGGGCAGCTCAGACCGCCGCCAGCAAGTTCCAGAGGCAGAGAAGCATGGGACCCGAGGCCGAAGGCTGCCTTCTTCACCTCAGCGGTGGTCACTCCAGCTCTTCTGCCCTTGGATGTTCCCAGGGCCCCACCGCTGGGCTCCCAGGGTGGGCGGGCGGGCAGGCAGACGGGGAGGCGCGGCCCGGCCCAGCCCACCAGCAGCTTCCTCAGTGCCGCCTGTGACACAGCAGGGCAGTCAGGGGGACGTCACAGTGCAGGCAGGGGCTGCGGAGACACCTCGGCCATCTGCAAAGGAAAATCTCCCACTACTTTTCATCGCTTTCTGATCGTGCCTCTCTGCACTGAGGCGGCCCTTCTTTCCTATTCCCCATCCTGAGGCTGAGTGGAGTCCAGGACAAAGCACTAAGTGGCTGTTTGCTACAAAACACCTGGAGATGCCAGAGGGTGGCTCTCAGCCTGTCAGTCCAGGCTCCCACACGGTCACACAGTCACACACACAGCGTTAAGGCGTCTGTGCCAGCAGGCGTGGCCAAACTGGGCCCAGCTTCTCTCCCTCCACCTGTAGAGGGTGAGGGGGGAGAACCCTTCTGGCTGCTTCAGAAACAGGCTGCAGTGGGAGAAGCTGGCAGCGGGAAGAGTTAGCTGGGCCCGGAGAAGGAAGTGGAGGAAGGCGGGCAAGGGCTTCCGAGGCCTCTAGGCAGGCCTGACGGCTGCCCTTGGAAGTGACCCAACTCAGGTTGGGAGCCCTGACCGTATACCCCCTGGAAAATGGGGGACAGAGGGAGGGGAAGAGAGTGGGGCTAGAGTAGTGGGACTTTGGAGGAAGCCAGTGCTATCAATATGTACAAGCATAAAGCCCCATCTTCTGCGCCACCTACCTCTCTGCCCCTCCCACAGAAAGAAAGGCCCCTGAGAGCCATTGAGGAGGTGCCAAGACCTCCTCCCCAGCCATGCCTGACAGGGAAGGCCCCTTCCCTCAACTGGCCCCATCTCCGGGCCCCCAGGAGTGTCCGCTGGCTCTGCTCAGTCGGGAGGAGGAGCCCGGGGCCAGAAGCCCGGTGCCCGGCCAGCCCTAGGAGTCCTTGAGCATGCTGATGCGCGCGTAGATCTTGAGGGCGGGCCCCAGCTTGATGTTCATGGCGCTCATCAGGTGGTCCTCCTTGAGCAGCAGCAGAGCTTGCCCGTCGATTTCCTGGGCACGGAATTCCTCTGCTATCTCCTGGCAGCCTGAGGGGACATGACCAAAGACAGTATCAATGAGAGCTACCAGCGGTCACGCTTGGCAGTCACTGCCTTCAGATGCATCATCTCACTTGATTCTCGTGACCACACCTTGAGGAAGGTGTTGCTGTTCTTATTCTACAGCTTGAGAGAGGCTGAGTGACTTACCCAAGGTAGCCAGACTCTAAGGTGGTCCTGTGACCCGACACCTCCTTCGTGACCGCCCCCCCGGGTCAGCCCAGTGAACTGGGCTGACCCCGGAGATCAGTACAGGGTTGTGGAACTGACAGCATGGGATTTCCAAGGCTGGATCACAAAGGGCGCAGCAGCCTCACCTTGGTCTTCTGGATAATTTATTTTGGAACATGCCAACCACCGTGTCGTGAGGACACTCAAGCAGCCCTCTGGAGAAGCCCACTTGGAGAGGAACTGAGGCCTCTTGCCCAGAGCCAGCTCCCCCTGTTGCCATGTGAGCGCAGCACCTTGGAAGGGGGTCCTCCAGCTCCAAGCCCTCAGAAACTGCAGCTCTGGCTGCTATCGTGATTGAGCCCTTGCAAGATACTCCGTGCCAGAAGTGCCCAGCTAAGCCACTCCACAGAACTCTCGAGATAAGAAGTGATTACTGTTTTAAGCCACTAGTCTTGGAGTAATCTGTTTCACAGCAGTAGGTAACCAATGCAGATCTGCGTACTTGGAAGATGGGTGCTGCCATCACCACACCTTCACCACGTGGGCGTGGCCTTGGACTTGGCAGCGGGCCAGAGCTGGAGGGACTTTCAGGAGAGTGGCAGTGAAGGTCTAAGGTTCCCTGAAAGACGGGAGTAAGAAGCCTGATGGTCTTGGAGGAAACTGCTGGGGAGGCTTAAAGGAACGTGAGGAAACTTACTGGAAATTGGAAGAAAAGGGATCCTTGTTATGAAATAGTAGAAAATTTAGCAACACTGTTGCTGGTGGTAACCCCGTGGGCATGAGACGCCTACTGAAAGTTGCTTGGGCTCAGGAGACCTCAGGCAGACCACTGCAGGTGCCACCTGGCCTCCCACCGTGGCCGTGGGAAATGCGAGGAGGGACGAGGTCGAGGAAAACGAGAACAGGAAGGAGCCTGGATTTGCTGATTTTGAAACTCCTAAGCCTCTCCAGATGGCAAATGATGCTAAAATTAAGAAATGGTTTCTAGGCAAAGACCAAATCCAGGACACAGTCAAAAAGACACAGTCTAAAGACGAAACTGCGGGGGTGACTTAAATCTTTTGTTAAGACCGCAGAAAGCTCTAAGGTGCCGCCTCAGAGAACTGTTGGATCAAACGCTCTCTCAGGATTTTATGGGCGTGCCTCACAGAGCCTCTCCATTCAACAGCCCAGCTCCTCAGACTGTTAAGGGCACTGTCCCTCGGCTTCAGAAGAAACCTAATGTGGAGTAAGGCTTGTCTTGAAGACATTGTTGGATAACATTCATAAAAAGCCCACAAAGAGTAAGAGAGAATCGTCTGGCAGAAACACTGCTCACATGGACGGAAAGGATCAGAGGTAATGTGAAATAAAAGCAGCAGGAAGTAGGCTGAGAAAACAACTCCACAGGCTGCCTTTCATGGGAAAGGAAGGATGACTCAGGGTGGAACCAAGAGCGAAAGAGAATCACTCCGGGCTTTGAGTCCTAACCAAGGAAATGCCAACACATGCCCTGGTATGGACTGGTGACTCCTGTAGCCTCCTGTGTTCTCCCTTCTTGAACGGGGCATCCTGAATGGGCACGTGTACCGTGGTTACCCAATGCCCATCCCACCATATCCTAGGTTTGTGGAGGGAAGTGGATAATCCGTTCCTCGTTCCCAGGTCTGCAGATTGAATCATCCCTGAGGAGCTGGACCCAGTGAGCCTCATCCGTGCCTGGACCTGTGTTAGATGCTGAGATCCTGGACCTCGAACCTCCGCTGTAATGGGATGAAACTTGTGGGGCCTCGGGTAGGCGTGAGGGTATTTTGCATGAGGGAGGAACATGAATCACTGGGGTGAACTATGGGCCTCCAAGTAGCTCCCAATAATCCTTGCTTCCCTTTCATGCTTTCATGAGTCCTCACAATGAATGGGGTGACCTGTGTGGTCAGCAAGATATTGTTGAAGTGACAGAATGTGATTTCTGAGGCTAGATCGTAAAGGGCATGGTGGGTGGCTTCCACCTTGCTCTCTTGGATCACCCCCTGGGGGGACAACTGGCTGCATGTCACGAGAACACTCAAGCGTGAGCGTTCTGAAGAGACCCGTGGGAGAGTGACCGAGGCCTCCTGCCAGCAGCCACACGCTCCCTGGGAAGCGTGTGAGTGAGGCACCCTGGCAGATCTGACAGCCCCAGGTGGCCCTTCACATGGCCTTGGCTGGCCTTGGCTGACATCCTCATCGCAACCTCCTAAGAATCCTCGTGGCAGAACTGCCCACCTAAACCGCTCCTGAATTCCTTACCCACAGGACCTGTGCGATAACAAACCTGGGGGATGCGGCAATAGATAATACGCTGGATTTGAGCCCAGTTCTGTTTAACTCCGAAGCCTGCTCTTAACCACTATATCCCACTCTGGTCTCTGAGTGAACGGGCTTATGGTCACCACTGCCTGACCTGGTCAGTGGCTGGGTGAGACTGGCAGAAGAAACAGTGGAGAAGCTCTGGTCCCGACGAGTGCAGCCGTGCAGATGGGAGGTCTTTCAAGGTTCATTTCTAGATCCTACCTTCGAGACCACCGGCACTGCGCACCCAGGGTCACGTGCAGCTACCGGCTCCTTTACATGCTTGCATGTCTCTGCTTAGGCTGCTCCCTGATGCCGTCTCTCCATCCGGCACAGGCCTGCTTGTCCACCGTCACTCAGTGTAAACGTTCTTCGTTCTAACGTTCTCCTTGACCGATTTCCTCCACTCCCACTTGACGCCCCTCCCAACTCGCCCCGGAGACACACAGGGTTGGTCAGGTCATCACCTTCACACAGGCCCCTCACCGAGCCCACAGATACGGCAGATTATAGCCACGGAACATTACAGTCGGTGCTCCATGCTAGAATGTGAGCTCTTACCAGCAGGCACCTCCTCCTACTCATCTCTGCCCCCCACCCCGCACCCCGTTCCTGAACCCAAGCCTCTCCTTGAACTGCCCGGTCTCTCCTGGTGGCGGCAGGTGAGGTCTCTCACACCCTCGCTTTCCTTGCTACTCCAGGCAGGCGTGGAACTTCCAAGGACCTTACCTGGCAGAGAGCGGATGAATTCGTAGACATCTTCCACATTCCATTTGGTGGGCTCGCTTGGCAGGAAGTGGTGCCCCATGCCCACCAGGTCCCGCATGTGCACGTCAGGGAGCTCCAGGTCCCGCTGGCCTTGTCGCCGGCGGGAGGTGGATGAGCTGGCTGAGATGGGTGACAGGGGCTCCTCGTAGCTTGAGTTGTCGGAGCAACGGCTGGAGTCTTCCTGGCTGTGTGTTAGCTGCAGTGCGGCAGCAACTGAGAGGGGCACAGTGCCTGCTGGCTGGGAACACAGAGAAACGGTTTTCTTCAGGATGGGGGCATAAAGCACCTCTAACAGAGCGCTGGGCAAAGGCAGGTATATTGTCCCTTTTCTACGTGGTCTGCTACTATGTATCTGAATTCGAGATCAAAAAGCCTCTTTTGCCATGTCCCCTCTCGGATCCTAAGCAGAGTCAGTGCCAGTACTGGAGCACGTACCACACTATGCTACAATGATCTGATTCTACGTCTGTTCTTTCCTCTAGATGTGGGGTTTTAACCAGGGCTCTGTGGGTTTAGGGGGATGGTCTGTAAACCACCTGAAATAGCATGTAAATTTTCTTGTGTGTGTCTATGTTGGACTGTAGCTTTCATCAGATTCTTAAAGAGGTTTATGGCCAAAACAATAACGATAAACAGCAAAATACACATAAGGTCTGAAGCATCATACTAGGCTCTGAGTTCCTGGAGCACAACTTAAGAGATTTAGTGCCTAACAGCTCCTGACGTACAGCCAGTGCTAAAACATACTTAATGAACAAATACCCACGTTCCTGGTAGAGACCTTCAAGGACTCAGTGCTCTGATGTTCAGAGAGGCAACAAGGAGGGGAAGTAAAGGGTGTCGGCTGCCTCTCACCTAGCCCTCCTCGGAAGGCAGGTGCTACCTGGGACAGCCTGTCTCTTCAGGCAGGGGAGCCCCGGAAGTCAAGGATGGAGGCAAACTGGAAGAAAGGGGTGAAGTCGGGGCAAGGTCACGGAGGAGGGAAAGTTGAAGCACCCATGGGTCTAAATGAAGGGACCTATGAAGGGACACGGGGAGACGGCTTGACCTGACAGATCATGAGAGATGAGAACGTGATGCAGCACTGATGCCAGCAGCGGAAAAGGACGGCGGGCATCCCGGGTCGTGTTAGGAAGGGAAGTTGGTGGGGACCCGAGAGCACGAGCTTCAGGCTCCGCCAGCCTCTCACCTGCTTCTTGGTATCCTTGGTAAGTGTTGGCAGACTGGCTTTGCTGGCCCGACGGCGGTTATGGGTTGTGGCTCCCGCCTTCTGCAGCTTGCTCCGGTCCGAGTGGAAAAGGCCCACTCGTTTGGTGCATCCCACATTGTACCTGCCAGAGCCAGGGGAACAAGGGTGGTCAGGGCAGTCGCAGGGCGAATGGCCCAGGAGGAGGAAGAGCAGCCAAGATACTTGGCAAAATCTGCGCCTGCCTCGTCGTCCCAGTCCTAAGTCCATCACTCAGTACTAGCTGTGTGGATCTGGGCAAGTCACTTAGCCCCTCAGTTTCCTTATCTAGCGCTGGGGAGGAGACCACTCACTTTCTGTAACCGGTCTGGCAATAACATAAGCTAACGTGTGCAAAGTGCCTGGCACAACTCGGATCACGGTAAGAACTCAGGGCTGCCACATTCCACTCCACGTTATCACCGGGGCTGGGAAACTAGTGTCCTCCGTCCTGACGGAGGACAGCTTGGCAGAGCGTCACAAAGGTGCGGGAGGCCCTCCAGCGCAGCCTGCGGGGAGGGAGGGCTGCGGACAGCCCTACTCCAGCTGGTGTGCAGGGCGTCTCTGCCTGGGGCCTAGAGAGCTCCTCTCTTCTGGGGGCTCAGGCCTCTTCCCTCTCGGCACAAGGATCACTCCGGGCTTAGAGTCAGCAAGTCTAGATCCCCAGCTCGAAGGCTTTAGGCGCAATTACTTTTCCTTGGTGCCTCAGTTTCCTAACATGTATAAAGGGCATGATAGCAATACCTGCCCCACAGTATTACTCTGAAGATCAGATGGCATGATGCATATTAACACCCAGCACAGAGACTCACACACAGCCGGTCCACAGTAAACAACGTCGGTGTTTGCTGTGATCATCCGTCTTCCAAGCTGCGCGAACGCTCACAAAGGAAGCGTCTGTAGCCAGCGCAGTGGCTCTGGGCAAAGCTTCCGGTGGAGGCTTCGGTAAACCCTAAGGAGATGGGAGCTGCCAAGGGCGGGTGCCAGTGGGACCCAGGAGGGCCCGACAAGCTACATGCTGCTTCCTTCCCTTGGACCCTTGCCGCCTGCCCTGCTCTGCTCATGGGAGTTCTTTGGTGAATGAGTGACGGGATGCTGCTTCCAGGCAGGTCACGGAAATAAGGAGCTGCGTACCAAGGCGCAATCCCAAGAAAAGGGAAGGGGCTGAGGCTCTCACCTTTTTGCACAAGCCATGGAGCAGAAGCGCTTGGAACGCTTGAACTTGTAGGCAAAGTCCACCCGGCCACAGAGCTCACACTTGAGTTTAAGGGGAGTACCCTCCTCTTTGGATTCTGAAAAGCATGAAAATCGGTAAGCGCGGACAAGGAGTAGTCCCCACAGGACTGCCCACAGCCCCACCTTGGGCCACTGCTCTGTCCTGCCTGCAGCAGCGGCTTGGAGAGTGCCAAACTGCTTTGTCGCTATTTTTGGAAGGGCTGTGGTCTCACCCCGGAAAGTACCCGAAGGTGTCCAAAGACGGCCCCTGGACACCCAGCAGTTTCTGCTTCTAAGGACTATGAGGCAAAGCACGGGTGGGGAAGAACCAGCGGCCCTCTTTAGGACCCGGGAAGAGAGCAGGCGGCTCACAGGGAAAGCTTCAATGCTGTCACCACTGGTCTGGAACTACCCCGCCCTTCCCTTGAGGTGTCCAGTTGGCTGCCGGCCTGGGTAACAGAGCCCAGGACTTCTGCAGCCTACGTGGGCGTCCCATCCCGCCTCCACTTAGTCGGTGGCTCGTGTGGCAAGTGCAGCCCTCGCTGGCCCCCGTCCTGAGTGCAGGCTCCTGAGGCGGTAGAGGAAGGGCACGAGCCACCTGGGGCTGCTCCTGCAGGCCTACAACTGGCGAGTGACTCACGCGGGCAAAGCCGCTCTTGGAATCCTGGGGCTGGCAGGAGTGGGGCTGGAGACAGGCAGGGCACACTCAGTTCCCCAGGGGCAGGAACTGCCGTCCGTTTTCTAGGGACAGGGCTGAGCGGGCACAGGATAGGGCAGTCTGGTCAGCTGACATGTTCACATGCTCCCCGGCTCAGAGCCCCTCCGTGGATACTAGGAAAGGACCTTCCAGCCTTGCTGAGTCCTGTTCAGCCCCGCCAGAAGCCCCAGCATCCAGGGTCTGAGACGCTACCTTGCAGATAGGGCTCCTCCATCTCTGAGTCAGTGGTGGTGGTATGGTCCTGCTGCGGAAGTTTCTCAGGCAAGAACCCCTGTGCATACTTCTTCTTGAGATTCCCCACCAGCAGGGATGAGCGTCCCACCTAGGGGACAAGGCAACATGGAGGCCATGAGGGTCAGGTGGGCATGCTTCCTTGCCATCCAGCCTCATCAAAATTACATGTATAAAGCACCCAGGCACAGACGCCCGCCCCTGTATCACCATCCAGGTACACCCTGCTCAAGGCCTGTTTTGCTGTTTAGCTCAAGAGGCAAGATGCCGATGACCACCAAAGCACAGGGATGGAAATGGCTTCAACCCAGGACCAATGGATGGCTTAGGAGGTCAGGAGAATATCTACTTTTCCAAGCATCTAGGGGACAGAGATGGAGGCAGGGGTCAGGTTTCCCGCAGCACCAGGACAAGGGCCAGGCCCCAGCACTCACGCATCATGGGGCAGGAACACAGCTGAGGCTGTGTGTGACTGTATGTGTGACACACAGACCCAGCCGCCATTCCTGGATGCCTTACTGTTCTCTCCCTTACCACTGCCCTACCCGAGCCAGAGGGACAGGCAGCCACGGAGGAGAAGAGGAAAACGCGGACGCTGGGCCACACCGGAAAGCAAAGGCCCTCGGTGGTGCCAGGATCCCAGACTAGCTGATTCACTCTTTGGTGCACTCCCTTTGTTGCCTTTTGTGCAGGCCACCTGGTTGCCAGATCTCTTGGGCGATGCTGGGGCTGCTGTCCAATCAGCATCGATCCTGTGAGATCAGCTGGGTTCTGGAGCTTCTCTAGGGGGCCAAAGGGAGGACCTAGTCTAATGAGGGAAGGTATGTGACAGGGCTAGAGCTACTTATAGCTAAGGTGCCCCAGGCCTTGACCGACCTCCAGAGGGAAAGAGGACAAGAACCTGTCTTGGCATTTTTGTCTTTTGGCATTTTAGAAGGGCAGTCCACCCATCTCAGTTAAGCAAGCCCAGAGGCTTCGGCTGACTATTCACACCACTCGTGGATCCAAAGAATGTGCAAAAGATAGATGGCCTCCCATGAAGATGTTGTGTCTCTAACAGCCAGTTAAGTTTATCACGAGAGAGGCTGGAGTGCACCTGGCTCTGGGCTCTTCCCACCTAGAGAGCAGGCCACCTGTCTCACCAATTCACACTGTGCACTACTGGCTCTGGGTGCTGTTCTAATGAGCCATTTTCTTGATTCTTCTGTGTTTCCCCTTGGTCTTATGCTTTAATTGGAGACACTTGATGAAGTGCCCCTTTCTGGAGTGCCCCTCATTCACTCCCCTTTCAAGGCTCTGTCCCCAGAAAAGCAGCTTCAGGCTGTAACTCTGTTCGCTTGTCTTCCATTCAGATAGATCTTGAGAATTCTCTTCTACACAGCTTCCTTTTGCTCTCTAACCAGCCAACGTGTTGCCATTTGGGGGTTGTGGCATTCAAACCCGAATGCCAAAGTCCATCACCCTGCAGCACCAAATACCCCAATGTGAACCCCTTCTAACCAAGGGGTTCGCACTTCACACGGCTGAGTCTGTGTGGAAACTTCCAACCAAGGGGTCTTGCCAATTATTCTTAATCACTGACCCCTTCTGGACCTTAGGAAGACACTCAATCCTAGAAAGCAAATGGCTCTGATATTCCTTTGGGGGAAAATTAGCAAGGAAAGAGCAAATTTTTCACATTTTCAGAAATTTTACATGGAAATGTAAAGCTATTCTAATACACATCCAAAGTATACTTATTAAAAAAAAAAAAAAAAAGAGGGGAAAAGAAGTAGTCCGTACCGGGAAAGGCTCCGCCCCCTCCTGGATCACAAACCCTTCGATAACATGCGTCAGGATTTGGGGTTTCACAATGGCCTGTGGTGGTTTATTCTCACCATTCTGGGGGGCAGTGCCGGTGATGCTGGAGGCAGAGTTTCCGTTCCCTGAGGTCATGCCGGGGCTGCTGAGGTCGGTCAGTGCATGAACAATGCCCTGCCCTGTCTCTGTACAAGGGAAAGCAGGAAAACACAAGTGGGGGGGGGGGTGGTCAGAACCAGGTCTAGGCCAGTAGCAGAGCAGGGACTCAACACTGCCCGATGATGCAAACCAAGCAGTCCCCTCCCCCAGTGACCCATTCAAAAGTGGTACAGTCTCAGTGGACCCACCACCAAGTGAGACTACAGTCTGTTCTGCAACAATGCAGCTCATCCGCCAGCAGTGTTTTCTTAATTTCCCAACTGTGCTAAGAATAGTCCAACCAGGTTACACAGGCAAGAATTCTGCCTTTGAGGAGTTAAGACCTTGGTCAATATTGATCTGGACAAACAAGTTAACATTCTGCTCAAGGGAGAAAATGTATTCAAGGTGACATCTAAAACCAAGATGAAAAGCTGAACTAGGTATAGGGCTTGGGGCATGATGGGGTTTGGGGCAGAGAGGATAAATGAACCTTCTACGAGGTTCCTCAGGAAAGGGTTAGATTTTAAGCGTGCTGTGAAATGTCAAAGTACTGAACCCCATGTAAACATTTTAACACAGATCTGCCTAATCGGAGACTGGTTATTTGGGATCACTGCATTAAGACATGCGTGTATTCTGTTTCTCCACCGAGGAAGCCCCTAAGCAGAGCTGAGGTTTTCTATGCTGTTCCTGCAGGTCTCCTGCTCCCAATCAAGCCTCTTGTCCAGTTCTCAGCTCCACATCCAATCTGATTCTCAGCCAACCACAGACTCCTTCCCTCCAAGGAGAGCCTTGCTTAAGATTTCCTCTCCACGGGCCTGCCAGCCTTTCTCTGAAGAGCCTGACAGAGCTCCAGTAAGTATGATGAGGTGCCTTTACAGAACCACACCACAAGGGACCCCCTTTCCTCCACTCCAAACAGTACCTCTCCTGAGTTGTTTCACTGTTTTAGAAGCAACTTTCCTCTCTTCACTTTTTTAACTCTTTCCCCACCCCCCCTTCCCAGGGCCATTCTCTACCACCGCCAACTGTGTGAAGCTGGGGTTGCCTTTAACCTGGAACTTCCTAAAAAAAAAGAAAGAAGAAAAGAAAGAAAAAGCCATTTCTTTATTGCAACAAGCCTACTGACAGTAAGCATAACCCAGTGTGAATGTATGTATTACACACTTTAAAAAGAATTTCAGTATATTTATTAGCTAAGTAATTTTTGCACAAAATTTATATGAAGATGCTCTTATTTCATGTTAAAGATCTAAAAATCCCACCACAGAACAGGAATTCACGATGCCTAATTATGTGGCATGGAGAAATCAAAACTCATTTTAGAAAAGGTTTATAACCGGCTCATTTTCTTACTAGTAGTCCTAATGTGCAGTAAACGGGGGTAAATCTTTTTTGTTAAAAAAAACAGTTGGCCATGACACATGCCTTCAGTACTCAGACCTCTGTAATTCAACTATAATAAATTTCAGAGCTGAGCAGGAGTTACCTAAGAGATGTGATTAATGAGATTTTTTTAAAATTAATTTTTTTGGAGACACAGTCATACCAGCAAGTTAGAAAAATTCGTTTACGTGTTTATAGTCCTTTGAAAAAAATTGTTTGACATTTTTGACCTTTCTATAGGGATGGAAAATTTCTCCGTTAGAATCAGTCTTTCTAAAATTGTAAAGGTGTTTGGGAACTAGAAAAAAAAAAATCTTTCCTTAACAATCCATGAATAACTAGGAGGACTGAGTTAATTATACAATCAATCAAATTAAGTTTCTTTGCTTTTAAATTTTAAATATTTCAGTCTATATTTACATAATTATATTTTTGCTTGTATATTTTAAAGTATTTTAAATATGCAAAGAAACAATCTGTATTTTATTTAAAATAATGAATAAATGTTGTTAAAATAGAAAGCTTACTATGTAAGTTAAAATCCTATTTTTAGATGATGGCTATTCCCCTCTGATTAGAGCCTAGTAAAATATTCCCTGGCTTCGCTAATGAGCTACTGTACAGATTATAGAATCACAAGATTAGAAAGTCTTGTTCAGCCCCTTACCAATGCTTGACCCTTCCCTATAACAGCCCCACCCAGTGATTTTCTGGCATTTGTTTAAATACCTCTAATGACAAAGGAACTCACTACCTCTGAAGTAGTCTGTTCCCAACTTGGGCAGTTCAATTAATAAGTTCTTCCTTGTAATGAGTCAAAAATCTATCTTCTGTTAATTTCTGTCCACTTACCCTGGTTCTATTCCTTAGGACCACACAGAACAAGGCTAATCTTATTTGTATAATGGGCAAAAACACAGGCTTAGACCTGGCTTAGAGACTGGTCTCTATCACTCAAGTAGATTAGGGACAAGTCCTCTTCTGTCTCTGACCCTTGGTTTCTCCAGCTGTAAAATACAGACAATAATAAGACCTACCCTTTAGTGTTGCTACAAGGACTAAATGAGAAAATGAATAGCAATGCAGTGCTAGCACACTGGGAAACACTCAAGAAATGCTCTTGGTGTCATGAAGGATGTCACTTATGAGCCCAGTTTACGTTCTCTCCTCCAGGCCACACTCCCTCTGCTCCTTTGACGACTTCTTATATAAAAGGTTGCAAATTCATCATCACCCTAGGTCTTCTTTGCCAGCATCTTTTAAAGTCAGGTACTCCGTCAATAGTAACATAATATATCAAGTGTATTGATCCAAGAGATCCTGTTGGTTAAGTGTTTTGTTTTGTTTCTTTCGAACACAATCTCGTTCCTCGCTGAGAGCACAGATGGAGGGCAATGAGTGACTCCCTTGTTTTAGTTTATCATACTTCTATGGAATTAATCCATTCTCCTCTGAATTCTGGGATCATGCCCACCTCCCTCTTTTCACTGATATTTATCACCGAACAGCTGCTGATACCCTGTCTCCTTTCATGGGATCTCTCCAACCTTGTTCGACTCTTCTCCTTGCCCCCTCTACCCCCTTCCCTCCTGTCGCTCAGATCTGTGCCTACTAACGTACACTGCAGGACGAGGCGGGGGCTCCTGAGGTCAGAGTCCTTCCTCGTGCCAAATACAGGAGCCAACAGAGACATTCACGAGCTCAGAGGCTACAGAGCCAATACTTAACTCTGGGAGGAAAAAGACTTTTTGGGAATCTAAGTTTTTAAAAAAGGATCTTATTAAGCAAGAGAACAAACTAATAAACCCCTTCACCACAACATTATAAGCTATCACTCTCCACTATACCTCTGGGCCAGGTTACAGGAGACACAGAATCCAAGGGACGGAAGGGAGAGCGTTTTACGACTGTACAAAGGTCTGCAGCTACTTCGCTTTGCAGTCATCTTGTAGGCAATACCTTATCGTGTGCTTTAGTCACAGAGGAGTCTGGGCTATTTCTGGAATGACCATATACAATCTCACCCCCTGCCAAGCTCAGCACACTGAGATTAATTTAATCTGCTTCCCGTTCTCCCAGACTGCTTTGCAGCCTGCTTAAGGGAAAGCAGCTTAAACTTGCAGAAACCTGCCCTGTTGGCCCTGAGGCCAGATGGAAGACAGAGACAAAGAAATTCTCTATCTTTGGAATTCTTCCTTACTCAATTCCCTTGACCAGTCCCGGGGCTGTAAGTGCTGCCGGGTTGCCCACAGGTCTCAAATGCCTTCATACAGAGTTAGCTACCTGGATCTGAAAGGTGGAGGCCAGGACACCCTGAGTAGGAGAGGCTGCAGGAGGGAAATAAAGCCAAGCTTCAGTGGTGGTGGTGGAAGGGGGAAGTAGAATCTAGCCTTCAATTGAAGCTGACCACAAAGGGCTAAGTATTTGGATCAGAATGAACAAAACAATGTGTTCTGGGGGAGTTGTTACATAACATAGGCCTCAACCTTGTAGGTCGCTTCTCAATCTGGTCTCACAGGCGCTGGCAGAAACAGCCCTTATAGGGACTGGATTAAAATAGGAAGGACCCCTCCAGTGGCCCAGTTTGTGAAATTATCTGCTACAGGGCTGGTCTCCTCTGCTAGGCAAAGCAGGTGCCGTTAGGTGGGGGCTGTCTCAGTCTCATCTGTATCTTCAGGGCTAACCCAGCGTCCAATATATAATAGCCATTTAACGGCTGCTGAGCTGAAGCATGGGGAACCCGTGGGCTCCGTCTTCACTCTTGACCAGCGTACAGATCTCCTTACTCTTCCAACAGCAACCGGTCACCAGCTGAGACTGGCACATCACTTTCTGAGGTGATAATGACGAGAGGGAGCAGCTGGGCTGGTGCCTGCCTACGGGGGTGGCATTTCTGGGTACCTGGCTATAAAGAAGAATGAGAGCTATTCCTTAGCCCAGTTCTTCCTGTTTGAGTGAGGATTTCCTCAGCAGAAGGGAGATACAGCATTAAATTGGCCCTAAAGGCTGCAGCTCTGGGTTCCCTGGTCCCTTTGAAACACTGATGCTGGCTCCAGGCATTTGGAAAGGCGTGATGACCTCTAGAGGCAGAGGCCGGAGACGCCTATAAAAACAGCCCCACCCCCGGGGCCAGGAGGTAGGTGCCCAGAGAGGCCGAGCTTTCCTGACCACTGAGGACAGAGGTCAGGCTGGCTCCAGCCACGCACCATCTGGGCCGCTTCGGAACCAGTTATGGTGCTCTTTACAAGCACAGGTAAGGCAAAAATCGTCAGTTATGCTGAAATATCGTTCAGTACTAACATTTATTGTGGGTATTTCAGATGACCTGGCCACTCATTCTATCTGCCCCTAAAATAAGTCGCCTTGAAGACCTGACTTCAGAGGAAATGAAGGGCAAGCAGAGCCTCTCCCTCTACCCTTCAACGTGGCCAGTAGCTATTTCCACTTTCTCCAGACATGAGGAGAAAGGGGTATTTTAATTTACAAGACTTCTAACTACCCTTGCTTGGCAGCAGCAGGAGAAAGACAAAGCTAATGAAGTTAATAAAGGATTCAAGGAAGCAGAATAGGTGATAACATGGATCATTTGCCTGCAACAAATTCTGCTCGACAAATGGCAAAACAAGGTCGCTTATACAACACAGAGCGTTCTCTCCAG